TTACTACAGTACATAGAAATATCACAATATTATAATATGCAGAATATTACAATATAATATACAGAAATATTGCCTAATATTACAGTAACATTACAAAAATATTACAGAAATATTTCTGTGATATTTACCGCGGACATTTAATATTGCAGCGATATTTATACAATATTACTGACATCTTACCATTTAATATTACCAAATTTGCAATATTACTGCAAGATTACTACAATATTACATGCTGTGTGGATAAAAAATGCGATCACATCAAGAGAAATGAAGATATGATTATGTTCTAAATGAATATCTTTGAACTTTATAACATGCTATTATATTTTCATGGCTATCAGCTTAAGGTTTGATTTGTTCTATGTAAAAAGGTCGCCAATAAATATGGGGGGGAAGGGGCTTATTTTGAAATATTGATTATAATTAATTATGTCTAACATTCACAAACCTAATGACCCTAAAAATTTGTTTTTATATACGAATTAGTTTCATTGCCATTTATGATTAACATACGATGAAATATGTTACGCCGATGAGTTATTTTCAATTCATTCACTGATTCATTTCAGTTAAAATTTGCTCACTCATAGTTAAACAAAGATTTTGTATTAACAGCAGCAGACTATCTATTCGATCTTTCAACCTTAGGTGAATGAGCAGCAGTGACTCTTCATAACAAATCGATGTTTAATCGGACGAATTATGTTTAACGTTATAAACTCTAAAGAGGGGCCAAAACATGTACGCGTTAGTTGTTTTATATTTAGGATGTTTCAGAATTAGCGAACACGGATTGCACAGTGTGTTGTATGCCAAAAGAAGCAACTTTTTTCTCTGATAAAATTACGTTCAAATAGTACTTTTTAAATGAGAGCAATTTTAAATCAATGAATGAGCTCTTCACGTTACGTAGAATCAGAGACGGCGCATACACACGGCGCGGCCCAGTGTGTGAGAATTATTTTACTATTTTGCTAAAAATTTTATTCTATGCATGATATCTAAATCACTATTTTGAATACAACTTATTTATGAAGAAAATATTTTCTAATTGATATCGTTGAAGAAACGATTGAAAGTAAAATAAGTAGATTAGGCAACTTGTGAATAATGATATTCACTATGATATTCAGATATTATGCATAGTTTTAATAAAATCTTTAGCAAAATAGAAAAATAATGACGTACATGCTCAAACGCAGAGCCGTGCCGTATGCGCTGCCCCTGATCCATGCGTAATGTGGTGCGCTCATTCATTAATTTAAAATTGCTCTCATTTAAAAAATATTGGGTAATTATATACATTAAACGGACATCGCGCCGATGATAAATAATCTTGTTGTCAAGGTCATGGCCCTGAGTGATCTCCGATAGATTTTAAGTGGCGGTCGTCCTTAAAAAGTTATTAACAAAAAAATTCAACTGTGTAACATGAGAATTCCCTGCTTTAAAATATGTTTGATAATCGTGCACTGTAGGAGACGCCGTGTCAACGACCACAACTTCGACATATATTATCAAACACTACAATTATGGAAATCCGGCATCCCTTTGCAAGGGGAGAAGGGAAGGTGAGAGTCGAGGATGAAAGTCGTGTGCCCCTTTACAGAGAGGAAGGGATGAGAGTCGCTTCGCGTGGAAAATCGAAAGTAAAGTTGCTGAAATAAAATAGTAGCTATATGAAGTATAATACATATTTATTTTTCTAGTGTTGGAGTTTATTCTCTAACGGAAAGATATATCACATAAATTAGACCTTTGAATCTAAATATCTATAAGAAACTATGAGAGACCTAGTTGCCTCGTTACCTAGTTGCTAAGGCAAAGTTACTCAGAATCATGATCTTGATAATATATCTCAAGGTTATCGGTGCGGTGTTCGTTAATATATATAAAATTACCGAAATGATATAAAATGACGCCAACACTTATCTGTGTTATACAATTGTATCAAATTATATCATATGTTATTGGAAGTTGATATACTTACACAGTGTCATTTGTATACAATAAGAATCTTATTTTAGATTATAAAATGTGAGAACATAATCAATATTAGAAATTAAAATGCCTATAACGAAAATAGATCGTTAATTAATTAAAATTTAAATAATTCAATGTAAATTATATATATATATATATATATATACTATATATGTACATGCAAATTTGTAGTATTTCAAATTGCGCGAATTGATTTTCCGCACTTATAAACGCAATTAAACTACTAATAATATCACAAATTAAATTGAGAAGCAATTCTTAATAATTTGATGCATGATCAAATATTGTATTGGGTTGTTCGGAAAGTTCATGCTGATGTTGAAAATTGAAATGCAGAAAATTTTAATTTAATAAATATATAAAATTTAAATTTTAGTCGGCATGAACTTTCTGGACAACCCAATATTAGAAAGATATTAATGTGCTGAAAAACTGTAAATAAACCTATGTACATTGCTGAAAAGTATTGTATTGACCGTGTAAACTTATGCCGTGTGTGTTGTAAAGCACTGTATTTGAACTGTGTCACTTTGTCGTCTGTGTTTCTTGCTAAGCTCCTTAGACAGCAAGACCAATAGAGTTAGAATTTTATTCACCTTTTGAATTAATAATTTTCAAATAAATGCTAATTATTATTTATGAAACTATTGTATAAATCTTACAAGTTAAGAAATAGTGATGAATAATTGTTTGTTTAATATTAGATTTCTCTTTATTAAATTATTTACTATTAAATCTAAATAAAGATTAGAAGTAATCCAGAAATAACTAAAAATATAATGTTAAACACAAAATATATATTTTATAGTATACAAATATACATAACTATTTGTCTCACAAGAAAAAGAGAGAGACGAAAGAGGTCTCTAATATGCATATTCTTCTTTCTCACGTATCGCGTCGATATCCTTGTCTGGCAATGCTCAATTATGATGAAATAATGCTCATTTGAACATGTTTTTGCATAAAACGAAAAAATGTAAACGGAAAAAATGCAGACTCTCCGGTAAAATCGAGATATTATTGATTATTTAACGATTATTCAGATTAGGAAATTTGTCAGCCACGCATTATCGTGATGTGACTAAGCAGTCACATTTTCGTACTCTTAATCAACACTTCGCACAAAATTCTTTACTTTAAAATTCTCTGCTTTAAAAACATAAATTCTCTGCTTTAAAACATAAATTTTCTGCTTTTTCGAACTGTAGGTATTGATGCCGCAATACATAACCGCTCCAAAAATTTGAGTAAAACTGTCACTCCTAGCTTAACCGCAGTTAATGATCATTAATTTAAAATAGAATAATAAGTCTATTTTATGAAATGACTGTCGCAAATTTTGACTGTTACTTCAAAACATATTATAGTGACAAAACTACTCTATAAGATTTAGAGAATAAATTATATTCGCAGTAATATCACGAGTTAAATTGATTAGCAATTTAATAATTTGATGCTTTTTCGTAGAACGATTTTAATAATAATGATTGATATTAAAATCTGTAAATAATTAACTCTTATTGCAAAAAATATGATCTCGGCTTAGCGTTAAATCCGAATCTCTTGCATTCTGTGCAAGTGTCCTACATCTTTAGACTTTGCTTGGTAATAATGAAATATTTTAAAATATTAACAATAATGTTAATTATGCATTATAAGGAACCATTCTCCGATGACTTTGACCTTGACATATGTTGTGAAGATCTCTGAGTAACCTTCAACAAGTTCCATACAGCACAAAACTTGGAACGATATCGCTGCAATATTGTTGCAACATGCAATTTTGTTGCAATATTGCAACATTGTTGCTGCAATTTTTGCTGTAAGGAGTTTTAGCTATTATTTGTTATTCATTAAAAAGTGACTAACAAAAGAAATTGAAAAAAGTAACCTTATTTCTGATGCAATATTGAAAATTATTCTGTACCCTTTCTTGCTTATGTTCTGTACTCTTTCATGGCTTTCTACGCGAAAGGAAGTCCACTTCTTTTGCTTAGAGGCGTACGACTTTTCATAAGAAGCGAGTTTTACTTCATCTCTTCTTTGCTAAGGAGCATTCGATTTTCCACTCAAAGGGAAATCTATTCCATCTCCCCCTCCTGTGAACTTTCCATGCCACGATTTTCCATGCGAAGCAAGATCTCCCTCTTGTTTCAAGCAAGGAAGAATATAAAATAGTATTAGTATATATATTGTGGCCTTCCTTAATATTTCCGTTACTATATAGCGAATCCTAATGATTACTTATGGAATTTGTTCAGTAGCTCGCTGTTACATCATGACGCCAATATTCAATAGCCACTTATTATAACGAATTTTTACTTTCAAGTATTTCGGAAGGCACATTTTAGCATTTAATTATTTCATTTTTCTAAACTTGATCGTATTATCACACGAATATATGTATTTTTGAATATGTTGTATTTAATGTTTTATTTGATTATATATATTTTGAACTTATATACAGAAGTTATGTGAATGTATATCCATTTATTTGTATATTGTAAAATGTTTTACTTTTTTTTATTAATTTTGTGATCAAACTGTTTTCTAAATAAAAATAATTTTTTGAGACTACTTTTGTGGAAGACCACATTATTACCTATATATTTTTTTCGAGTTTTTATGCAATATCGCCACATTTTTATTAATAGTGTCCTAAGTAATAACTATTTTTTAACTTTGAGTCCAGAATCGATTTAACAACATTTTTAACGAATGTAATTATCAAGTTGTAAACTTTAATATTGATTATTAATCAAGTTATTGTATAAAATGTAACTGGGATGCTATAATACTATCTTCTATATATAGCACAAATAAGACGTTATTTTTTTAAATAATTTTTGAATGAATAGCGACAGCTGAAACCTGTTGAAGGTTCAAAGTGATGACCTTGACAATATACATCAAGATCAAGGTCATTAAAGAATGCATAATTACCTTATTCTTTTTATAAAGTAATTCTTTAATATTAATGTGCCATTTTATTACAGGAATTTTCTCAATTGACCAAAGAACTGGCGGCGGCGCGAGAGAGCATCTTGGAAAGAGAAGAGGAAATTTCCGAATTAAAAGCGGAGCGAAACAACACACGTGTGCGTAACCGATTTTTTATAATAACATTCTAACAACTCTTTATGATTTTCTTAAATTTTGTAGGTTTTTAAAATAATTTATTTAATAAGTAAATGTACATTTAACGTATAATGAAAATAAGTAAAAATAACAATAAATAAAAAATTGTAGAGTTAATGACGAAATAAATGGCTTTGTATGATTAACATAACATACTTTATTATCGATATTTTCAGCTCTTACTGGAACATCTAGAGTGTTTAGTATCGCGACATGAACGATCACTTAGGATGACGGTTGTGAAACGTCAAGCCGCTGCGCAATCTGGTGTATCGTCTGAGGTGGAAGTTCTCAAAGCTTTGAAAAGCCTTTTCGAGCATCACAAGGCTTTGGATGAAAAGGTATTTTATGCTGCTTTATCAAATACCATTATATTGCCATTTTTTAATAGAGCAAAGTTTGATTTACAAGGGTTTGTTTTATGACAGAAACTATATACATGAAAGAAGATTCAAATGAATTTGTATTTGAATTGAGTCCAATCTTTTGGTTGCAGTATGTGAAAAATGTATAAATTGACAAACAAAAGAGATTTATTATTTAAATTATACCGTAATTACGACGTATTTGATTTATTTCTACTTTATTATTTCTGTGATACACGACAATAAACGCTTGCATGAATGATCACTTGTACTAATATATTACGCTTTTGAATAATATTTATCAGATAATGATCAACGCATACATATATTACACTTACGTATTACTTAGAGAAGGAAGATGTAGTTATGAAATAAGCAAAGTAAGATGAAATTATCTATTTTTATGTTTTTTTTTCTTGTCATTAGCTCGACCCATTTGAATTTATTTTTACTTTCTTAAATAAATAATTACATGTTGATCAATGTTTTCTCCTAAATAATTTTTTCTGAATTTTGGTTATAGTTTGAAGAAATAAATTTTCTTATTTTTCGCAATTTTTTAATAAAATTTTATTTTATTTTTTTCAATATTAAGGCTTCTGACTAGTCGCGGCGGCCACGTTGAAATTGACGTCAGAAGCGAGGAATGAGACGTTAATTTATGTTGCGTACCATTTTTAAACAAAGACAATCTGAATAAAACGAAATGACGAGATCATTTTAAAACACTTAAAACACGTAAAAATGAAAACTGTCCTTTTCTTCCTTGATAGTCAGTAAATGGTCGTAAAAGGCACGTAAAGTTAGCCTATATTCAAGCAGAAACACACAGTTCGATAGCTATTGAAAATGAGTATACGCTTTTACATATAAAATTCCAAGATAATTTTAACTTTCATCGATAATTATGATTTTGATAAGTACGAGACAAGTCACATTTTCACGATTAAGCAAATAATAACTAAATGGCAACATAAATTTTATTGTGAAAATCATTACTTTTCACGCCTATTAATTCAGCCCTTTATCGTGGCGAAGTGCTGTAATAGAATCCTGCCGCTCACTCCTATCCTGCTGGTATATGTCTTGAATGTCGGTAAGTGTCGATAATTGACACTTGTTATCATATGAAAAGCCAAAAAATAAAATTATAAGAACATGATTTTAATATTGTTTAAATTTTAAATTGTTTTATTTTTGAAAATAACAAAATTAAAAAAAATAAAATTAAAACAATAAATAACAAGAGCAAACAGCCATACATAGGATACCGTGTGATAATGAAAGCCATAATTTAATAGTGAAAACCAAAATTAAAAATTTGTTCATTAATAATATAAATTGATCATATACGTTTCGGCCACGATTTGGCCAGTATATAAAAAGTTCTCAGTATATAAAAAATAAAAATTAATTAATTAAATTATGAATTTCGGTAAAAGCGCTAAAATAAAAATGTTTTTAAAATTGTCAGTTAAGATTATAGTTGTTTACATGAAAAAATATAGTCATATGCTTTACACGAACGATTAAATTTATAATTTAAAAATTATATTTATTATTTTTTTGTAAATTTATAAATTTAATCGTTCGTGTAAAGCATATGACTATATTTTTTATATACAAACAACTATCTTAATAATTGACAATCTTAATAACGCGCTTTTATGTTATATCGAAATTTATGATTTATATTAATTTTTATTTTTACATGTTGAGAATGGCTAAATCGTGGTCAAAATGTATATGATTATTTTATATTGTTAATGAATAAATTTTAAATATATGATTTTCACTAACTATCTTGTACGAGACAGTTTGCTCTTGTTATTTATTGTTCATTTATTAAGCCACGTATAAATCATTTAATATCAAAATTGTTCTGCACAATTACTCCGGTTAAGATTGTTGCATATATATACATATATTTCAAGATTATATATATTTTCATGGATTATTTATGTATTGTTTATGTATTAAATTTACACAAATTCTATTCATGTAGATAATGTAAATGGAATAATACAATACATAACGAGGTAAATATAGTAAAAAATTTATATTTAAATATGTATAAATATATATAATCATATTATATTCGTATATATGCATATATATTTGTATATATTATATATGAATGTCCATTTTTCTTTTTTTTTTCTTTTTGTAAAATTGTTGTTTAATATAAATAAAAATAATAATAATAAAAAAACATTAAAAATACATGATTAAGATTCCTGTGTAGTCATCACAGATATATTAAATTTGTTCGCGTTGCATATGCGTTTAATGTCCTTCAACATGTTCTTACAATAGATCTATTCATTTCAACCTGATTTATATTATTAATTGTTAACTTGTCTTCTTTTCATTAATTTTCATACATGCATGTAATCATGACTTTGCTGCGCTTGTTTTAACACCAGGATACTACCGTGTCTCCACTTATTCAAAAGTAATTTAATAAATCATAAGTGGTAGTACAGATCATTAATGACAAGATTTTGACCTCGGGTTTTATTTATTTAACTTTTTCCTAATCAAATGACACGCTCGATAAATTTTGGCACGGAGTGAGCGAGGAAGCAAGAGAATCACGATTGCCAGGTTTCAATTGAGATGATCTCGAAAGCTTATGCACTGGAAATCGTACGGTCTTGCCCAAAATTGATAATTTCAATAAAAATTTGCAAGTTTTGTATTAATGGTGTGTTAAAAAAATTATATGGCTTCTAAAAAAAAAGTCATTAGATTTTTCACTCTTCTGGAGATTTCTTTTCAGAACTCGAGAAATTTTTTAATCCCACCGCTCAGTAAAAAATTTTTAATGCACAAATATATAAATGTATATAAACACATATATAAATATGTATAAATATATATTCATTCATTCGATGGCGCAACTTCCCAAAGTCAAAACAGAGTCTACCTCTTGTACGTACACCCTGTATGTACATGCGCCCGCAGATTATACACAGACAATATGGGGCAATTTAACGCTGGTTTTCGAACAACAATGTATAAATATATAATTATATATGAAATATGTCCATACAGTTCATTCTTTTGTAATAAACTACAATTTAATACAAGAAAAAAAATAATACCGAGAAAACATTAAAAATAATTAAAAGGATAATTTGGAAAAAATCAAGTTTAGAGAAATGTAAAAAAATTACTAATGTATAATTATATACAATTCTATAAATGTTTTCTATAGATGAATTCTATATTTTTTTTTCAACATTTCTTCAAACTGAATTGTTTCTAAAGGAAACAATGGAAATTTTAACAATACAAAAATTATCCTTTTCATTATTTTTAATGTTTTCTCATTATTGTCATTATATTTATTTTTCTTGTACTAAGTAATAATTTTACAAAAGAAAGAATTAAGGATTTATGAACATGTTTGAATATTTTATTTATAATCATATAGTCATTTTTATTTATACATATTTATACATAGTAATGTTTTAAATACACCTATATATTCATTTAATACATGAAATTTTTTCCTTTTATGCACATTATCATTTCCTAAAAAAATGGTCATCAACATTCAGAGCAATTAATCGGAGATTTTCATCATCTACCGACGGAGTGCCGGTAAAGAAAGAATCGTGCAAAAAATCGGAAACTGACTGAAAACTGCAAGAGAATTGGCAACCGTGGAGAGAATCCGTTCTCTGTGCTGAACAATGAGACAGCTCAAGAGAACATCTATTCTCCTCACTGTATTCGCTTGTTTCAAGCGACCGAAAATGCTTTCTCACCAATTTCGGCCGTTTCAGCGTATATCAATAAGAAGTGAGAGGTATTTAATTATATTTAATTGTATTTAATTGTTTATTAAAATCATAAACAATTAAATATTTTCTAAACTATTGTGTTTTCACATGATTTATACTATTCTGGATTAATGGGAGGAGTATACTATTAGCACAATTTATTAAAACTTATGTTATTTAGAATGATCTTCGCCCCTTATTGATGCCGGGGGAAGCCGAGATTGCCGAGAAAGCATTTTCAGTCGCTTGAAACAAGTGACTAGAGTGAGAAGAAGCTCGCTGTCTTGTTCACTCTCGGCGCGAAGGAAAGCAGTGCGAGCACACGTACATGGGCTGGTGCTTGAATGTGTTGCTACCGATTTCGCTAGATCGCCGTCTGATTCGGTGTTGCTACTGTCAACGCAGAGTTCTCAGGCTGAGTAATCAGGAGCCTTAAGCCATAGGCTAATATTTATAATCGGATCCTATATTTGATAACATTTTAAGTATTTCCATTCATAGTATTTCAATATTGAAAATATTATAATACTACAATCTTGAATTTACTTCAATTTACAATATTTTAGTATTGAAATACTATGAATTTTAATAATAATTAATGAAAAGTGATGAAAAATAATGAAAACTAATTCGTATATATTTAATATTCATACTAATTTATTCAGAGATATTGAACATTAAATTATACTGAAGTATCATGAACTCTAAAGATATATGATAATTATTATAAATGAGTTAAAAAAAATGGAAAATAATACAACACACATATAATACTTTTACAGTTTATTGTATACTGAAATATAATTTCTAAGGAAAATTAAATAAAAATATCTGAAATGTAATGAAATTACAAACGAAATATACAATATTTTTAAAGATTTATTAATAAAAGTTAACAGAAACAAAAACGGGATAATCAAAATGTTGCAATTAATAGTTAAAAGAATGAAATCTGCTAAAAAATAATAAAATTACTTAAAATTTTAACGACAAATATTGAATTCAAAAGAATTATGAAGAAAGTTTATATTCAAAGTAATTGAACATTGAATTGTATTTATTATTTTGAATCCGAAAAAAATGAAGAATAATGCAAAACAAATAACATTTTTACAGTTTATTGTAACACTGAAATATGCTGAATTCTCGGAAAAATTATTGAAAATTATAGAATATTTGAGAAAT